AATGTACAGCAAAACGAAAACAACATTTGTTATCAAATTTGTCAATCGCGTAAACTGAAATAAAATTATGATTTCGGTGTGATGTTTCTATAAAAAAATTGATTTCGGTCTGCTATCATTTTGATGCTGGACTTTGCTCGGGTAGCCCTTTTAAAATCTTACAAATTTTTCCATTATTCATGAGCTTGTCTACTAGCACAAGCCATTAGCAATTTAACATTTTTATCAAACTCCCTGAACATTAGACTGATGCAAAATTTGACTTTTTCGCTCCACAGTGCTTAAATGGTTTCAAATCGGGTCCTGATTAGCCTCTCAAAGTTACAACTCATTTGGTTAGGAACAGACTTCGCACAAGCCATTTGAAGTTTACATGTAAATTACTATGGGAAATCTCAACTTTTTGTTCATTGCCTTCTAGTCTTTTTCCATATTGAGCTGCAAAACAGTTCGATAGCCATGCTTATAGAAAATTTTCTCAGCTACAACTTTGTTGAAGTTCGTTTCTATGTAAAACAAGACAGGAAAAAGTTATTAATTATTTAAGAGATTGGTAAACTTATGACATGATCAAGCAGCTGCTCTGTAGGCAACACTGTATTTTGCAGTAGCCATGATTTGTGTGTCCAATTCAACGCACCAGAAACACCAATGTTGCCTGCTGAGCAGTTGATTGAGCATGATCGGAAGACATCAGTTTATTGAACCATTGATAACTTTCGATCCTTGCATTTAATCAAAAATTTCCTACAAGTACACTTGAAAACTTTTGAAGCAGACCGATATGGTGAATTATTAATCATGAAACAGAAAGATTCCGTGAAATAGCTAATCAAATGCTCTAATAATGCAGTATATATAAATCAAGATCATTGAAAATGCACAAATTATTCCACAACTTGTCAGAGCAAGGTTGCCAAAAGATAGATTAATTTGTATTTCTAAAGAATTTTTAGAACCAAGGACCGATAATCACAGATCAAGATTTCTAGGTTTGACACACATTATAAGGTTTTTTGTTTATAAATTATGAGTTTAAGCTTTAAATTGTGGCCTAACATTTTAAAAATAATACTTAATTTGTTGAAAACACGCAACTTTTGTGTTCGGTTCTGTATCATTTTCGTGTCACCCACTCTTATCTACCTATTTTATTAGCCTTGGCATGAAAAGGGAGTATTTAAACTGTCAGAGACACATTATCTTTTGCTATGTCCATAATTTATTAAGTTTTATTTTTATCAGAAACATAGTGCGATGAAATACCCCTTAATCACTTTTGTGAGAAAATATTTATTGGATTTAATACATAAATTATTGGAACAGATATCATTACAGGACCTCCCTTAGCTCAGTCGTTAAAGGAGCAACTACAAATAAAGACTATGCAGTATGTGGCTAAGTTCGATTCCCCGTCCGGTCTAGGGATGTTTGGGTTGGAAAATGTCTTGACTTCCCTGGGAATATAGTATGACTGCACTTGCCACACAATTATACTAATGAAAAAATAGTATAGCCATCGATAGCTCTCAATGAATAACTGTGGAAATGCATCTAGAACACTAAGTTGAGCACGCAATAAAGCTAATATGAGATAAGCAATAAGCTAGAAATGCGAATAAGAAGAAGATCATCACAGATTTTCTGTAAAAACCGATGATGAAAAGATTTTTTGAACAAAAACACAGATTTCAATTTAGAAACCCTGATTGTCAGGCGTACTTTTTAAAGTATATATTATACCGCCAGATCTACTTTGTCACTACGTTAACAGTTTAGTGAGTGTTGGTGAGTATCTATTGTTCAAACAAATTTTACAACTATTATATGAATGACACACGCAGCTGCATTGATGCCATCTTCAACAACAGGTTGCGCAGACTTAACACTTAACTTGGACAACACACAACATTATGCAGACCAGTAGGGAAATTTCCTTTTAATGAAATGATCCTCCGGTTGGAGTGAGAATTAAACCTCCACTTCATGGCACACACAAAATACGCTTGAACGACTGGTGACGCCGCACAGTGGAACAAAAATTTCAAAAAATAGGTACATGGTCATTTGCGATGAAACTATTGAGTGTAGCATTTTGATGTCTTCTAGAATGTTTCTTCAATTTCAAAATACTTTATTTCAGTGGTAACATTTTTTGCTGTTAAAATTCTCAATCGGCTTAATAGACTGGTGAAAGCTGGGTAAGTTAAGTTCTTTAAGAACAAACTGGATTTCTTTTAGTACAAACCACAGTGGCCCAGGAGTGCAACCGGTTCCATTTTGTTTGTATCTATCTCCCATAGAACCCCGTAGGATTTCATCCCGATCGGACGCAGGGTTTCGATACGAAATTTTATGATAAAACAGCAGTTTGTTAAGTATTGTTTGTAGTTGTTTTGCATCTGCCAATGCATGTAAAACTTTTAAGCTAGGTTTAGACTAGGCAAGTCAAATGATCAACTCAGTTGAATTCAATTGGCTTGAAAAGTTGAGCCTGGTTCAACTTTTTTAAATTCAAGTGAGTTGATCAAGTCAGTTGAATGGCATGGTTTACAAGTTCAATTCACGTTCAAGACAGTTGAATTCAACTGACTTGATCAATTGACTTGCCCTGTCTAAACCCAGCTTTAGTGTTTTTCCTCTCTGTGATAAACTACAAGAGTCCACTTTTAGATTTGTCCTGATACATTAAAATTTTAGAGAAATATGCGGTTGTATAGCACAACGTGCAGCAATGCAAAAACAAGACTTTATTAACGCTAGCTAGAAGACTTGGCTGTCTTTTGCTACACCATCGGACACCTTCTTCTTATTAATTCCTTGATTAATTGAATGTGCAGGAAGGAAGTTTCCACACCTGCGTAGGATTTCGCACCCATCAACACACATGAGCCGGGACCGACGGCTTTAATCCCCTTCGTGGTTAGAGATTTGTATGCCTCTGAAAAATTCCACCGACCTCGGCTGGGATTGAAACCAGACCCATTAGGAGAGAAGCAATCATGCTTATAACTACACCACCAGTGCCAGTATTTGGATATCTAGAGCTTCATTAGATACATGTAAATGACGGATGTTAGTCGGTTGGTTCAACAACAGACTGCCGGAACATATTTTTTCACCTGTGACAAACATGATGGTTCTACCGTTGTGGTACTAGGAATCAGGAAGGAACTAGATCCAAAAAGAATCTCAATAGATGTATTAGATCTATGTACAACTGTTGTACAATTATGTCAGACCTTGGTGTTACGTTCAAAATAACATAACAAGCGATAGTGAGTAATGGGACTGGTATGAGAGTACTTTTGCCATCTGATATTATTCCACATAACCTGTGTCTTCATCTTACCAATGATAAACTTATGTTGCAATGAAACTATTTGACCTTAAGTTTTGGATATTATGACTAGATTTAGCAGAAGAACAGCAAATTATTCAAATATCTTTAATCGTTTTCACTATATGACTATTTTCAAAAAGCGACTACGGCAGTAATATGCATATACATTAGGGTGGGTCAATATTGCCCCCCCTACTTTTTGCACAGAATTCGAATCAATTTGCTGTCATCGAAAAAATAGTTTGGATAGTTTGATTAATCTTATTTTCAGGAATGGGCAAAATGGAGTTATATGTGAGATTTTGACACTCATTTTTCTATACATACAAACTTTAAAATTTTCTATCATGTTAAAATCGCAACCATAATAACCATTGATAAGATTTACATACTTTGAAAAAATCGTGCCATTTTACATGCTGACATATACGAGCGTAAATTTTGACAAAACAATAAGTCATAACAGACGCGAAATTCAGCTAAATCAAACGTACCTTTCGTTTAAAAATAAACTTTGCAGTCTCGGAGCACTTAATATCACATCACATGTTTGTTTACGTCTCATCCCTTAGGTGAAAGATGGATTCCGTCACGTGTAGAATTAGATATTTCTAAGTATGTAATACATTTGCTGAGGACCTAAACATGAATAAAAAAAAAAAATGGGGATCAGGAATCCACCATACAACATAACTCACCCTAATTTACATATAAGAACTTCCTATGGCATTCTTCATTATAACAGAAAAACTGTGATTGTCCTTTTATATCTCAAATCTTTACTTTAAAATGCTTGCTCTTTTTCAAAAAGCTTCATATTGTTAATTCTTACCACTGACTTTTCATATTCCTGTTGAATATTCTTGTATTAGATTTTCCTTATCGTTGAGTTGGTTCAAACTGCGGGGTTCTCATAATTTGTGCAATTCAGACACTAAATCGTCCGACTGGATTTTCATGATTCCATGCTATTGATCCGGTTGAGGTTGTTATTGTATTAGATGCTGTTGAAAGCATGCTTAGGCCATATTTTTGATACATGTAGTCTCCTATGACTCATCATTTTAGGAATACAGCCATAATTTGGAATACATAGTTCGCGCAGTGTATCACGTGCATTCAATTTAAAATAGATTCTCGAATCAACATTCCTTTTACCATTTTACACAGACTACTAATGTTCGTGCTACGACGTATTAGCCTACCGTTTCGTACGAAAAAGCTTGTACCCAGAAGAACAACACCGATCGAGTTCTCTGCCTCCCGCGAAGCACTCCCCGCGAGGATCATCTAGACTCTACTTGGGAGGCGCTGTCAACGGCGGTGACAACGCTTTAAGAGAAAAAGAGAACAAAATCAAACGAGACCCACCCGAATGAATAGATCGCAAGGGGGCACACAAAAGAGCATAGAGAACCCAACACCCGAAGGAGGATTGCAGTACCAAGAGCTTGAACCTGAACCGAATGCGCAACAGCAGCAGCAACAGCGAAAGAAACGCAAGCTCGTGACGGGGATCTTTTGCGCCGGGGCAACTTAGGTGGCTCTCGCTCGCGTGGCTTATTTTACGACGCTCGATGTTTGTGTTGGTGTGGCGGTAAACGAAAAATCGCTTTTTCCACCTACTGGGGTATAAAAACCGATTGTAAAATTATCTTTTAATACAGTTTTCTTAGAGGTTTCGCAGCGTGCACAAATCGAAGAGATATCCTTAGAGAAGAGTACCGTATCGGTGTGTAGAGGGAGATTACCCTTTGATCCGTTTTCCGTAGACCGTGCAGTGGTTTATTCGGAGTACAGTGTGTGAAGTTTGTAAAAGTGTTGGACATTTGAAGATTTAGAATCGAAGAAAAAAGGACACTGTTCCAACGAGTTCAAGTGAAGTGAACGACAAAATGAAGTATAGCATAGTATTTGTAGTTGCTTTGTTTGGAGCCGGTATGTAGAAAAGATTACATCAAACATGTTCTAAAGACAAATAATACTTGTTGAATTGTGCTGGAGAGATATCCAACGTTATATATCTGTGCTGCTCTGGGTCTGTGTGGGATCAAGATTCTGAGGGGCGAGATTAAATATTTGCTGGTTTGTCATCTACTGTGTGCTGTTGTGTTTTTACCTTGCATTGGACTATGATGGTTGCGAAAGCATGCTGTCGTCAGGATTGGAACGTTTAGTAGTAGCGCCTGGTGGGACAGTTGGTTAGAGTGAGAAAACACGAGGAAAAATTGTTTCGGCTCCGGGTTTTACTTGAGCGTTACAACACAAATGCGGGAGGTTGTCAGAAGATTGCGCAGATTAGTACTCCTAGAGTGTAATATAGTCTGGCAAAAGACTCGAATCAACGACTTGTGGCCTGTCAAGTGAAAGGAACAGTTTTTTTTTTGTTCAGACAGAACGATCGATTATGGCGAAGGAAGCAGGGGAAAATATAATTGATTGTGTTTTGTAACGCTATGTGTCTGGACTGTTTCGGGTGGATTCGACGGAACGTAAATAATGTTGAGCGGGAAACCGAGTGATGAATGAATATTGTGAAGGCTTGCGGGAATACACCAATTGTCGAATTTCACTTTGAATTCACATCCGTTTTGTGTCCACTTTTCCTTTACGTCATTGGGAAATTTTTTATGATTTTTTTTATTGATCAATTACATTTACAAGTGTGTCAATATTTTCTATGTAATTATCGATGAATCACATTTTTTAACCAATAATTGTGAAACAAAATTGCAATTTTGTTGATAGATTTTCTGTGAAAATCAAACCGTTATTTGTATTTCTTAGGTTGTACAAAAAATTAACCATAAATTATGAAATATAAAAGTTTCTTTAATAATGTGAAACGTATTGAAAGGGAAGAATTGGTAGAACAATTTTTAAAATAATATAATTTTATGTTGAAACTAGAAAGTAATCTATAGGATTTATTACGCAGTAGAATGTTGCAGAATTTCTTAATCTCAAAATTAAATTTAATATACTTACTTTGATTAAGTATATTACCAGCTTAACTCATGGTTGAATTGAGTAGTTATCCGAACATACAAGGATCAGAAAGCATAATTTTAGATTTATTACATCATTGAACATAACTTATTTCACGACCGATTACGCACCAAATAATAGGGTTTGATGTTTTTAAGTAAGGTAAACAAGCACATGAAAGACATTGGAACCGTGTTGCTAAAATCGAACCCACACTTAACTTGAAGATTGAGTTGACAAAAAGCTTATTTTTTTTCCAAAAAAAAAATGGTTCCAATTTATTAAAAAGACAACTTCCATTAAAGATTCTTTCGAGTCAAGGTCTCCCGGTTTTGGGACAACTTCGTTCAGCCTAATGTCAGGGTACAGTAATTTATATACATCCCCAGGCTAGATTGGCTTTTTAAAAGAAACTAGATCTGCGTGAGCAGCTGCGATATTGTCTAGTATTGTGTTTCTTTGTTGCCTGTGGCGATAATCTCCAAAATTCCAATCTGCGAAAATGGCGAAAAAGTTACGAAACTCGTTAGGAAGTCTCGTTTGCTTTGAATGTCCCGCTGTGGTACCGAAGAAACGGGTTAAGGTTGACCTTGACGACAGCACAAATTCCAAATGTGGCTAGTGGTTGTTATCGGGTGGATCAGAGTTATGTAATTCGGTGACACATTTTTGGAATAAACCAGTTTTGATCGCTGCTGGTGAGATGACGATTGTGAGCTGGCAGTCTTTGAAAGAGGCAAACGACCAATTTAAACGGTGCTATCTCTTTTCTTTGTAAACCTGAAACCTCAATCCAATATGCCCCACCCGAGGCAATCGTTCGAAATCTGTTACTGCCCACGTCGTCATGCGCTGAGTAACAGCCAAATTAGTATTCATCAAATCGAGGATCAACACTCTTCTCCTCACGACAACTCAAAGTGGGATCACAAAACAAGAGAGCCCATCAAGCAATTTCCAGCTCTCACTCACTACGACGTGCACATACGTTCGGGCAGGCCTAGGTTTTTCCTTTGAATTTACGCGTAGAGCTATATCGACAAATAAATTTATGCCACCGCTTGACATTCCTCGCACGTCTCGGTTTATTCATGATGCTTTCCATTCACCCCCACTGGAGCTATCCGTTATGCGACAATACCGAAACCAACCATGGAGTCGTGCAGTTTGTCGACAGTTCTATCGTTTCTTTCCGCTACCTCATGCACTCGTCGCATGGTGCCGACAAACGCGTGATGAAATTAGTTAATTTGCCTGATTGAAATCCTGTCTCCTTCTGATGTCTTGTACCCTTTCCTCGGATGATTGTCACATTGATAAAAAATACCTCCTACTATTGCAACAGTCAATAGTGTTAAACTACTCAACTCAATAAGATATTGTTAATGATAAGCCGAACCGAAACTTGACAGAAAAATGACCATTCGAGAAGCAGCACTCAACAAATCAACCTTTCTATTTCCTTAAACCAAGGCAAACAACAAGCGATAGAGTGCTTTTTCATTACTATATCACTTGTGTAGCTGCTTCTTCTTTTTTGCTTGTTTCCAGTAGAACACTTGACTCAATTTATTGTGGCTCCAAGTGCCTTCCTTTCCCCCTTAAATCTTGATTGCTCTATCAAGATATTGTTGTTAGTAGCCATTTTGTTCGAACCGGATTTGAGTTCACTCCTAGCATGGGACAACCGAAGACGGTCGCAGTAGTTGGGATTCACTTGCAAACACAATCGACGAGCAAACCATAGCAAAACAAGAAGAGGAAAGTAGCAGATAATCGCTCGCCTAATGAAAATCGTTGCAATTTTCTACCAATTAGCTATTGATCTTTTCTTTCACCAGCCCAGCCAGTACTCTCTAAACACGAGATTTATTGTTATTGGGTTGTTTTTCTCCATCGCTCACCTGAAATAGAGTTCCGTATTTTCTTACAAGTTTTTTTGTCGCTAAAATTAAATCAGGGGTTTGATTAAAAAGTGAAATGATGAAAGTTTGCAAAACGTTTGAAGTCGCTTCGTAAATGTGCTCCAATTGGTTTCAAGTGGCTTCATTTTCCCAGCATCATCATCCTCATCATCTTCACAAGTACTGTTTTATTCAATTATGGCAAACTCCATTCAAGAAGGCTTGAGCGTTCTTTTTGTACAGTGAAGTATTTTTGCATCCCCATTTGTTTCTCTTTGCATTGGAAAATCGAATAGAAGCATGATTAAATTATTTACCACTTTGGACTGCTGCCATTGCCTGTTATTTTGGTTGTGCTCGGATAGAGGCTTCAATTGCACTTTTAAAGTGTGGCTTTCCGGAGCAATCGAGTGCAATTAAGTAATTTTGGACGAATAGTTGGAGAATCCGGAAATCGTAACTAACTGCTTGCCCTCGCACAGATCTATACGTGCACTTGGCAAGAGTGCAATCAGCAATAAGTTTGTGCTAGTTAACGAGCCATATTAAAGCTTCCTTCCCTCCCGCAAAACACCACTCTTGATCAAAGAGTCATCAATATGTAATGATGCTGTCTAAGGTTGTGATGGGCCTCGGTTAACATTCAAACAACGGCAAAAACCAATTACCCACACCACCGTTCATCAAAGCGGGTGGCAATCGACATTACCTTCCACGCAATAAACATCATTTTGTTCCCCATAGCTTCATGGCCAGCGCGAAATTAGTCCAACCTTAGTCATCGTTGCCACCAATATGTAACACTTTGTTGGACATTAATAATAGCTGGTCCGCAGCACCTACTGGTCTTTGGCCCTCGCAGGTCCCTCGGCAGCTCTATAGAGCAATCTATTAACACCTTCACCATTACAATGATGCAGACGCTTGTCCACATTCTGGTGGTACTTGATAATCGCGATAAAATGATTAATTAATGATATCTTCCCATGGCTGGCTCTTTGAAGTAGCTAGTCTATCTAGCTGCGCATCGAATGCGATTTGAAAATCCTACAGTGATCATAAGCGTGCATAGAATTCTCCGTATGCCACAATATACACTGATGTACAACTTACCATATTTTATTTTCACTTATTTTAATGAGAGCTTTTTTGGATTACCACCTGGAGTTTTACATTCTTCGAAATCGTTAATGTCCGTTGAAGGATTGTGGTATTAAAGTTTGTATGAATATCGAAAAGCAGTGCCCTTCCATCGTATGCCCCTGTGAGTGCTTTTCTACACTTGTAACACTGCCAGCAATGTGTACGATAGTTTTGAACTAATTAAATTAATCAACCGTATCAATCTTCAATTAGACGCAAAACACACGCACTGGCTGGCTAGTCTTCACTGGAAGACAGTGAAGGCACGCTAATTTATACTATCTCATCATTTATGTAGATCAGGCTACGCTAGATATCCTACACTACGACCACCCGCACAAATCCGTCAAATGTTTAATTATTGTAATTAAATTTACCTTCCGTCCACGGGTGCAGCCAGTCGTTGATTGAGCACCAGTGAATCTCCTCTGGCAGTGACAGTTAATCAGAGAGATAACAAAAATCAATACTCACGAGATGCGATTGTGTCTCCACGGCATTGCTGCCAATGTAAATTTCAACAGAAATCGTTTCCAGAACAAAAGCCAATCCATACAAGCTTTAGTGCGTATGTGATGCGGTGAGTTTTCGTGAAAGATTAATTTCACCTTTCACCACCAGACGACGACCGTGTATTGAGAGTACGTGTAATCACGCATGGATAAATACGCCTTTGTACGCTCAACTGTGGATATCGCCTGGGTATTGGTGCGTGTATTAAGATATGATAAGATAAAAGGCAAGTCGCGTGTTGAGATCAAGAAGTTGTCCCCGTTGTGGGACACATACTGATGAGGAGAGTAAAAGATCTCGGGTGGGATTGATTGACTATATCTGCATCCGTTGTTGAAGCTGATGTTAAACACAATTCACGAGTGTGGATGTAGATATGTTACTCGCTTG